GAGGACAGCAAAGGCTGGCTGCAGATACAGGACCTTCTACTCATTTCTTCTAGTGGGGTTCACCTGTCCAGTCAAATGTCTCAGCGTTCCTGGTCTAAGGCTCTCATCATTAGAGTGTCACCACTTTTTACTGGCTATTTCTGCCAGTGAAAATCCTGAAATGGGGGGGGGGGGGGGGGGGGGGCGGGGCTAGGAAAGTACTTTATTCTTCTAAATTAAATTTTTCCTTCCACTACTTCTGTTAACAAAAGTGTGTTACAGTGTGAACATGTTTTTACTCAGGGTATTTTTTTTCTTTTTCAGTAGGAGTGCAATATGGTTGGTTATCTGGTATGACTCTTAAATACTATTCTATATTAAGGATTTATCATTTGGTTATAAACCAGGAGTTTTGGTGCCCATTCAAACCTATTTTCTTCTTGAATGAATTCATAGCTAGAAAAGCCAAAAAGACAGGGAGGTTGCCAATAATAAGCCTTTCTGTCTAGTGTTTTGAAACCAGTCTTCTAGATTTTTTAAAGCTACCAGAATATTTATGTAATTTCAGGTAATCAGTTATGCTTTACACTTTAATAAAAGTTTCTAGCCTGTACATTAACATTCTAGCCTGTACATTAACAATACCTTGCTCACATCTGAAATTACACTTGAGGATTAGTGGTTTATTCAAAATGAATCTAACATGAGAATTATTATTAAGAATCTTTTAATTTCTTAAATCATGAGAAATGTAAGGGAAAAAATTAGGGAAAAGGCAAATAGCAGTCCATAATTATGAATCTCTAGTGATCTATTGTGATCTAGTGATCTATGAATGCCTAGTGATCTATTGTTTTCTCACTTGACATTTTAAACATATGTCACAAGAGAAAAAATAATAAACAAATGCAATGAAAAAGCCAATGAACTGATACAGTAACTGATACTAAAAGTTTCCTGGGACCAAAAAACAAGCAAGAAAAGATAAAACTATCTTCAAAGAATACAAAATAATAAACATGATGTTTGCCCCATAAGAAAATATGAAATAGTATGACAAAGACTTTTAACTGATGTTTCTATTTGTATGTCTACAACTCTAATGAATCTTTCTTGGAAAACCATAGTTCTTTTGCAAAAAGGTATTCTAGAACTTTCCTCCACTATATATGTAGATGGAAATGTATGGCTTTAAAATAAAAATGTCATTTAATAAAACAGAGGTTGAGGAAAAACTTGGGAGATATATACAAAATTTTGACATTTTATGTGCTAGTGAAAATTTTGCCCTTAAAAATTCAGAAAACATGGTCTGGGAATATGGCTTATGCCTAGCAGGACCTTATTTCAAGGCCTAAGACTGGCACACAGAAAAAAAGTCAGGAAACCAAGAGGGGCCCTGGCTCCAAATGGTAGAGCAATATCCTTGAGCCCAAGAGCTCAGGGTCTGCTCCTAGGCCCTGAGTTCAAGCTCACCACTGACAAAAAAAAAAAAAAAGAAATTGTCTGAATAAGACTAGCCAATATAGTTCAGTACATAATTAATGTAATATAAATACATTAATATATAAATACGCATGAAAGTCAGAAAACATATAGATAAGCATCAGCTTGTTTAAAGAAGAGCTTGTTTATAAGGATATATGTGTATGTTTATAAAAATATAGTCTTCCTTTTGTGTGTGTGTGTGCGCGTGTGCACACGTCTGTGTGTGTGTGCGTGCATGTGTGTATGCCAGTCCTGGGGCTTGAATTCAGGGCCTGAGCACTGCTTCTGAGCTGCTTCTGCTGCTTCTGCTGGCAACTACCATTCAACTACTTGAGCCACAGCACTTCCAGCTTTTCTTGGTAGTATCTTGGAAATAAGTCTCCCAGACTTTCCTACCTGGGATAACTTGAAACCTAGATCATCAGATTTCAGACGTGATTACAAATGTGAGCCACTGGTATCTGGCTTGCGTTTTTTGCTTTTCCATTAATAGATAGCTTAAAAAAGAAATTGGACCAATGGATAGAAAGAAGATACTTCAAGAGCAGCCAGTGATGTCCTGATCCATGTCTCAAGACTCCAGTCAATTGACAAGCAAAAAAAAAAGGTTGGAGTCATGGTTCAAGTGGTAGAGCACCAGCAGAGCAAGCTAAGTGAGCCTGAGGCCTTGAGTTCAAGCTTTAGTACCAACAAAAATAAATACCTAAATATTGCAACTTAAACATCCTGGTAACCATCTTTTATATACCTTTTAATCACACAAACACCTAAGAGTTTAAAAGAAAAAAGAAAAATATGTACCCTACTCAACAACAATATGTACCAATAAACTAAGAAAAAAATCTCATTATTTCATTCATCCCTAACCTGTGATTTCAATTCAGTATTTCTATTGAGGAAATTGATTTGATTGTTCTAATGCATCAAAAATCCCAGTGAGTGTTTTTAATATCAGGGAAGGATGGTGAAATGAATGTATCACTTTGCTAATAGTTCTCCATACGTCTCGTGCACTGTGCTTTCAACCATAATGAATTCAAGTTTAGTTCACTGTAGAATGCAAGGGCCAAAGGTGATAAACCCAGCAGGTATAATACTTGTGAATACTGATCCTCACCATTGCTTACACCATGGCTCCCACTGGCAAATACCTGGAGGGGTACTCATTAGACTACTCAGAGGACACATCTAGAAGCTGGCTAGCCTTTCTTCTTTGGTTCAACTACATGTAATGTAACACATAAGATGGAAACCAAGAATATTTGCATTCCACACTATAGCTAATGTCCCTTAAAGAAGTAATTCCATTGCATTGTGCTTTGCAAATTACACAGGAAGTTTCCTGAATTAGCTCTCTAAAATACGAAATTGCTATTTATGACTCCAGGCATATTATCTCCCAATGCACCCTCTCCCATCAGCTATCATTTCTGACTCACACATGAGACATCTTCGCCGTGGCTAAGGTTCTTTTTAGAAAGTGACATATTTGTGATTTGATACGGAGATTCCAACATCAAGCGAAAACACCCAACTTACTATAAAGAGATCCAAAAGATGACTGTTCCTTTTCTTACATTCAGAAATAGATAAACATCTCAGGTCTGTCTAGAAAAATCAAAATCCTCCATTGGCACCTGAGCACATGTATGGCTTTTAATCTTACCCGGGAGGTCGATTCATGGCAGCATCCACCCACAGTATACATTGCTATTTAGCATTTCCATTAACCACTAGTGTTTCAAAAGTCACAGATATCATGTCCCCAGGATCACAAAGATTAAGCCTTGTTGTAGGTGTGGAGAGACTGGAGAGATTGGTAGAAGCCAGAAGTCTGGTGGGCACCAGAATTCACCAGACTTCCGGCCTTTCCCTAGGCTCTGTCTCATGAATACAATAAATAAATAAATAAATAGGGAAAGGGGATGTTTATCTGTTTATCAGTGGCTTCACTATATACATATGTTTCTAAGAAAACTTCAGTTCATTTCTTGAAGATTCAATTTATTGCCTTGTATTGTTTTACTCAGTCTTTGCTCTTTTTCAGTAAATTAGTCACACTCATCCTTCCAGAGATAGTGAGCTTTCCAGATTAGCCCCTTTATGTCTAAAACAATCACTAGTATATTACTTAAAAAAAAAATAATGTTCACCAAGTTTGAAAACCTGCCCTTATACTTCCATCTAAGTATATTCACAGCTTGGGTGCCAGGGCTCACAGGAAACTACTCAGGAAGCTGAGACCTGAGAACGGTAGTTTGAAGTCAGCTTGGGCAGAAAATTCTGTAGACTCTCACCTCCAATGAACCAGAAAAAAAAAGTGGAGGTGTGGCTCAAATGGTAGAACACTAGCCTTAAAAAAAAAAGGTAAAGGGCCGTGCCCAGGCCTAAGTTCAAGCCCATGTACTGGGACAAATACATACATACATACATATATGTATGTATACACACACACACATACACACACACACACACATTCGTTCCCAATCAGTGTTTCGGTGTTCTCTCCTCTTCTGTCTGGAAGACGGGGAGGAAAAGGCAAAAGAAAGCCAACAGTATTTATTACTTCTTTTTAATTGTTTAACTTTATTACTGTTGCACCATTTATACAATTACATATAATTTCAATGCATCCATTGTACATTTTTTTGTTTTTTAATTTTTATTTTCCATTTCCAATGCGTGGTGTGCTGTTGTCGGTGACACAGAATGGAAGAGGAACTGCGACTGCAACGAACGCAGACTTTTTTTTTTAATTTTATTTTTTTTTTTCATTTCCACTGACCAATAAACAGAACTACAGGTGCACCCAACCACAGACATGCATTAACTCGTCATGAGAAATCTAGGTAGGCTAAGTACGATGAGAGAATGTTTGTTACTCCCAAAAATATCTGGAAGAGGAAGAATGGAGGGTCGGCGTTGAGTTACACGTGGACAAGCTAGGTGGCCTCCACCTGGAAAAATGGGCATTCATCCCCCAACATTAAAAAAATATCAAAGTAAGAAAGGCTGGAAATTAAAAAAGGAGAAGAGAAGAAGAAGAAGAAGAGCAGAACAGAACGGAAAGCACGGAAAATACTGCTCTCATAAAGATCTGATTGCCTTGGCATGGGCCCCGCGGGCGGAGGTGGGCGCCGCCGGCTCCCCCCGCCCTCCCGGCCCGGAGGCGGCGGCGCGGGGAGGGGGGCGAGCGGTGGAGCGGGGCGGGCGAGCGGGCCTCAGCAGTTCGGGTACGATCGCGGCGCGGTACTCGGAGACACTGACCTTTCGAATCCGGGACTGATTAGTAACGCTGACGGAAGGTATATTAGATATTTTCCCCACAAAAATACTATTTGGATTCTCCCCCCCCTCCCTCCCTCCCGAGGTGGAACGCAGCCTCTGTTTCGCTCGTTGGTTTCTCCCCCGTGGGGCCGTACACATCCTTAACTTCCGATCGGTAACGAGTGAGTGTCAGGGTGGAGAGAGGAGGGGGGAGGGGGCGGGGGGCCGGGGGGAGGGAGGGGCGGGCGGGCCGGGGAGGGGCGGGGGGCGGACCCCAGGCTGTCCCGGTCACTCCTTCACCGCCACGCTTTGCTCGGCGCTGGCGGCGGGCGCGTCGGCGGCCTTGGGCTCCTCGGGCGCGGGGGGCGCGGGCGCCGGCGCCTTGGCTGTGGAACTGGGCGCTTCGGTGGCTGCGGGGGGCTCCTTGGGGGCGGGGGCGGCGTCGGCGCCGCTGGGTTTAGAGTCTGACGCGGGGGCCCCGTCGCTTTTCGTTTCCTGGGCTGCCGGCGCGGCCGCCGGAGCCTCAGTCTTTTTGGGTTCCCCTTCCTCCTTGGCGGCGCCCTCCCCGGGCGCGGGCGCCGGGCTCTCCGCGCCCGCCTCGCCGCCGCCGCCGCCGCCGCCGGCCTTGGGGGCCTCGCCGCCCGCAGCGGGACCGGGAGCGGCCCCGGGAGCGGAGCCGGAGCCCGCCGCCTCCGGCTCGGGCGCCGCGGCCGGCTCGGGCGGCGCCTCCGCCGCGCCCTCCGTCTTCTCGGGCTCCGCCTTGGGCGCCTCCTCCTGGGCCTTGGCCGCCGCGTCGCCCTCGGGCTCGGGCGCCTTGGCCTCGGCGTCCGCCGCGCCCTGGGCCGCCTTCTCCTCGGCCGCCGGCTCCTTGGCCTCCGCGGGTTCGGAGGCCGCCTGGGGCTCGCTCTCCTTCGGGGTCCCCTCCTCCTCGGTGCCCGCGCCCTCAGCCTTCTTGTCCTTGTCCTTGGCTTTCTCGTCGTTCACATTGTAGCCCTTCTTCTTCTTGCTCAGCTTGCCTCCCATCTTGGAGTTCTGTAACCAAACACAAGCCCGACAGGGCGAGGGTTAGGCGGGTGCGGGCGGGCGCGGGGCGCGCAGGTCGGGGCCCGGGAGCCCCGAGAGATGCACCCCCCCATCCCCAGGAAGTGGGCCCCCGGCCCCCCGCCACCCCCCCCCCCGGCCCTCGGGCCTGGTGTGTGCTGTGCACTGCAATGGAAATCGCATTTCGCCATTGTCAGGAAATTGGGGTGGTCGGGGAAGGGGGAGGAGGGAGGAGGGGCTGATGGGGGGGGGGCAGGGCTGAGGCAGAGGTGGACCGGTTAAAACGAACCCCCTCCCCCCCCACGTACGACCAAGATGCTCATCAAAAGGTGCAAATCTAATCAGAGGAAGGGCAGCCGCGCGCCGGCGGCTCCTGTTTGCTCAGGAGGCTGAGATCTGAAGATGGAGGCCGACAGCACCAGCCTGGGCCAACAAATCGGATCTCCCATGAGCCAGCAAAAAAAAAGCGGTGTCTGGCTCAAGTGGTAGAGAGCCAGCCGTGAGAAAAAAGCTCAGAGAGACACAGAGCGCGCGAGAGCGGGGAAGCCCGGAAAGGATGCTTGCCACGGAGCAGCCGGCCGGCCATATTTGTTTCCTATCTGCCTCCTCTCTCAGGTCTGACTCCCCGGAGAAGGATGGAATGGTGGAAATGGCACGGGCAATGATCTAGGTCTTTCGCTGAGCTAGATTAAAACTTTGGTCATTCACAGGCACTTCCACGAGACACTGATTAGCCCAAATCGTGCATTTCTAGAACATGATCTCAAGTGGTCAAGTTCATCTATATGAAGAGTCTTCAAAGACTTGCCTTGTACTTACACAGAACCACCTGTGGAAATTCTGCTTTCTCATCTGCATTGACTTGCCTACTGTGTGACCTGCATTCGTTGCTTTTCAGAGTATATTTGGCTTAAAAACATCATTGTGTAATAATCTGACACTGTGGTTGGAGTGGAATTACAATACTCTATGTAGGCTCAATGGTCATTAACAGGTTTTCGTTTGTTTTGTTTATCCACTCCAAATATAGGCCTCAAACTGTCTTGGGGCTATGACTTTCATTCTGGCAGAAATAAAGCTACTGATTGTATTTGAATCCTGATTTGTTTTTCCTCCCTTGATATGGAAGTGTTAAATCAGACAAGTTTATAAATAAATTTGATCCAGAACAATTGCTAACTGTATGCAGATTCATTTTAAGTGACTCTTAATGGTATAGTGCATCAGCGCGAACCCACTGAGACACTGTCCATTTGAAAATAGAAAAAAAAAATACTTCCATTACTCTAGCTTGATGAATCCACAAAGATGGCACTCCACTGTCTCTACTCCTCAAGCAAGAGCAGCCTCAAAGGCAGAGTCTCCATGAAGGCTCTAAAGTCCATGAGACCACCTAGATCTGGTCCAGGTACACCAACTCCACAAAACTCTAAATCTCTCAACAAGGGGTGGCACTGGTCAAGATTCATTGTACACACACACTGCAACCCCAGTGTGTAACTATTTGCAGATGATTTTGTAAAGCCATTCATTCAGAACAAGAACGTGCTGTTTATTCCTTACACACCATGGGGTATGATTCCATGTGGCGAAATAGCTCTTGCTTATCTAAATTTAAAAGCTAGGTGTCAGGAGGGCAGTTGATTTGCCCCTCCACTTTACCCAATCTCCTCTCTGGACAGACTTTAATAATTGGGGAAGGAGGAAAAGCAAACTGAAAGATCACTAAGACACTGTCCCCAGTTCCTTATTGTGTTATCCAAGGGAGAGTGTCTCTTACGTCTTTCATTGGAGAGAGGGAAGAATGGGGGCAAAAGAGTGTGATATATGGTCAATATCTACTTTAGACAATGGGTTCTAATTAAATTTTTGTAGGACCAAAAATAAATGGCAAAACGCCATTAAATACACTTTCATCATGTAGCAATAAGCTCAAATATAAAGAAAAATAAACTCGGATACTCTGCCATCCTAGCTACTTGGATCTTGGTTGGAGTACAGCCCAAGCAAACATCAAGACCCTAGTTCACCCAGTAAAATGCTGGGCATGGTAGTTTGTGCCTGTTATACCAGCTAAGCAGTAAGTATAAATAGGAAGACTCAGTGATGGCCAGCAGGATATACATGCAAGACCTGATGTGAAACAGAACTGAAATAAAAAGGCTTCAGTGGGCTCAAGTGGTAGAGCACCAGCTTAGAAAGCTCAAGGATCTGAGCTCAACCCAAGTGCAAGGAAGGAAGGGAGGGAGGGATGGGAAAAAGAAAAGGAAGAGATACAAAGAAAAGAAAAGAAACTTGACCAGTATTTTAACTGTGCAGTACTTTTGTTGAACTCCTAATTAAATGGTATGCATGTGTAGTTTGTATCAAATATAGTTTTTCAGCTCTGCTATTTCATGATACATTTTAGTATGTTAGATAGAATTAAGAAATAAGAAACGTGATAGATCTGCCTTTAAAATCTTCCAATTCTATAAAAGAAACCCATATGCCAATCTAGAAATTTCAGGCTGCACAGCAAAGTGTAGTGTGTGCTGTGTTCTGACACCACAGCATGGAATTCTATACAGCAATCCCCCGAAGTTCAAAGTCCTGTTGGTTTACAAACCTAAAAATTTAGGTTACTAAAATTGGTTTTCTGAAACCCAGTTAAGGCCACATTTGAGTCTTTGTTTAAGCTCAGCAATGATTCTTTTCTGGATAGGAAGTCGCCTACATAATCAAATTGTAAGTTTAAAAAAAAAAGTGTCATCATCCTGTTTGTTTTTCTAAGTAAGCACCTCCTGTGTTTAGCTAATTTACCCGTGTAAACTACTGTGAAAGTACCAGGGAAAGACTTACAGAATACTCTAGAACCCTGGCAGGCAGAGGTGTCCCGATTAGTTACCAAGATGCAGAGTGAAGACCTGCCCTACTCCCAAGGGCAAATTAAAATTACAAATTGAAGCCTAATGTTTGCTAGGTGCCAGGTCCAATCCCGATCCTAAAAATATTACAAAAATTATTTCATCTTCTCAACAGCACCTTGTCAGGATATAGCACTAACATCGCCTCTTAGCCGTGATGAAATGCTGACTGACAGAGCTCATGCACTGTAAAATAAGCAAAAGAATCAAGTCCAACAAATATGTTAGGGCCTAACAACACCATCTAGGAGGTCAAAGGGGACCCCACTAAGAAGCTGTCAATCGGGCAGAGCTCTCAGTCCAGAATGTGACCTCAGAACTCAAGATATCCAGAAGACACGGGAGGAATTTGGTGCTTCAAGCTCTCTCGCTCCTCTCCACCCCCCACCATGTGCCTCTCAACTTTTCATGTTCTCATTTACCAAAAGAGCTTTCGATGCAACCCTTCAGAAGTAAGAGTGAAAAGGAGATACAGAGTTTAACAGTTTTCTCTCCTTTCTATTGCTTCTATTTAAAACAAATCATTTGCTGTAGAACATTTGAGTTTTTAAGGTTCCATGGGCAAGTGAACAAGTAGTCCATCCTAGATGTCGCTTAAACCAAGACCAAAGTGACACAGAAGGGCTGGGCATTTGATGGCGTTTAAGATGGCCACTAGCGGGAATGTACATGGTCAGACACGCCCAATGCACTGTCTCAGGGCTGTGTTCCCATGAGAACACACAATGCAGTCGCTCTTACTTGTGACATTTCAAAGGAAAGCGAATGCAAAAGTTGTCTTTGAAAGGTACAAGGAAATTCTTCATCCCAAGAGCCACAGCTATTGGAACTCACAGGTTGGAACTCACATAGAAAATAACTAACGAAGACCAGCAGAGAAAGGAATGTCAGTAAGGATGGACAGTAATTATTTCAAGGAGACTTCTGACCTGTGGTCATGGTTGACTCAAAAGATATGATCATGAAGCCAGGAGCCAGTGGCTCATACCTGTAATCCTAGCTGCTTAGGAGGCGGAGATCTGAGGATCCCAGCTCAAAACCTGGCAGGAAAGACTCTTATCTTCAATAAACCACCAGAAAACCAGAAGTGGTGCTATGACTCAAAGTGGTAGAGTGCTAGCGTTGAGTGCAAAAGCTCAGGGACAGAACCCAGGGGCCCTGAGAAAGCCCATGACTAACAATAACAACAACAACAGCAACAACGAAATGTACTCATGAATGACCCCTTCCTGAGCATACCAACTGTTTGACTCCTTAAGCAAGTTATTTAGCCATTTTTGCTGCCTATTTTCTATGAAAGAACAAAGATTGATTTCACAGTTATTTCATGTGAGGCAACAGTACGTTTGGCATTTCACAGACCTGCAGTGAGTGCTAGTCCCTTCTGCCAACATTGCCTGTGACCATTCCCAGACAGCCCCACGCTTCCCACTCACAGGCCATCAGAACACGCATTCAAGAGCCAGCCATCAGAAGCACTGTAGCCAAGAGTGTTGTTCTTTTAAAGAAACACCTTAAAATATTGTCAAAAAGCTGTTTGGTATGTGTGTCCCAAGCAAATTACTGCTGTCTCAGAGCATGTGTCAAGGAAATTTCTAGATTATTTGCTGTCACCCTACTGCTAGTATTAATGTCAGTCATCTGAATAAGTTAGGCACGTGAGATTTTCATGAGATAATTAGTCTTTTTAAACATACAAGCAGCCTGTTAGACTAAGAATCCCGTTTCTAGACAGAGGCAAACTCCAGGTAAGTCCTCAAACCCATTCCTGCCCTTCGGCTCTGACCTTGGTGAGACCATCGGGAGCCTCCTTTTCCTCTACTGTATTCTCAACATGTCTTCATCCTTCGGTTCCAGGGAAAGAGAAAGCCTACTTTAGCTACCAGGATGGAAAAACATGCTAAAACTCATTAACTGCTTCCAATTTTCCCTATGGAAAGCTAAACAATTTCATCTGTACCTTATCTCAGCTAATGTAAGATGGTGATATGGTCCCATGCCTTTTTTTTCTCTACAAAATTATTATTCATTTTGAAAATATCAAACACTTTAATATTTGATGTGTGTGTTTTTCTTTTTCTTTTT